CTGAACTTGTGGCGGGCAGCTTAAATCCCCTTCTTCCTCCTTGCTGTGTCCATGATCGCACCTCTCTCACATCTCATACTTGTATATATTCCTCCTTCACTTGATCCTGGAGCCTTCCCGCTTGGTAACGTGATCTCCCTTTGCCCTTGTCATCATGTTCATGTCGTCTCCAATTCATTGCACCTACAAATGCACTGACAGCTGTTCCTTGGGTAGTTATGCTGATTCCTCCCTCTCTTGCCTAGTGTGTCCTGTCCACTAGCATTTAGCAATCTGAGCGTGCTCAGCTCAGTGCTGTCTAAATCCCCTGTCTCCTCCTCTGGATACGACCCCACAGAAGTTAATGGCAGTCTTATTTGTCTCTGCTGCTGCAACACCTGGAATTTGCATTTCCTCAGCTCCTTCTCTAGTGACCTACGTACACGTGATGGGACCCGGATACTTGTAACCCGGAGTCGCTAGACGTTCCTGTCCACGTTCCTTCCTACCATCTTCATGTCCTTTGACCACAGACTCTGGCTTTGCTGTATTTACTTTGAGACCTGTGCTCTCAAGCTCACCCTGCCATTCTCAAAAGTTTTCTTGATCTCCTCCTAAAATCCCTCTGTATCTCTCACGCCCATCACCATGATAAAGTGGAGTAGGCTTGGTGCAGGGCCCAGTTAAAACCAGTTGTCGATTCCAGAAGCTCCTACTACAGGGGCTCGTTCTGGGTTGTGTGCAGGCTTGAGGTACTTACCTTTTACTAGGTCCATTGGCTTTTTTGGTGCTTTCTTTTCCCTCCATTTCCCCCAAAGGACTTCCTTGGGAAGTGCCCAAATGCCTTTTCTAGCTCAGCACAAACCATCTAGAGCTTTTTGGTCTTTTCTGTAAGTATCTTGGAAATGTCAGGGGATTTCCCCCCTCTTCTAAAAACCTGCTCATTATCACTCATGTTGGTGGTCCTCTTGAGTCTGGCTGCAATAACTTTTTCCTTACCTTTTTTCAAGCAGTGACTAAGTCACTGTTCTCCAGCCATTGCAATGTTGGCATTTCCTACACCTCTCTCTCTCTCAACAAGAGATGTGATCTTATATTAGTGACCTTTCGGCCCCAAAGTCTTATCCTGTTCATTTCCTGGATAAAATGCAGGAATTCCCATCCCGTTATTCTCCTGTTTCAGGATCTTCCACAGACTAGGTATACAACTCTCCTGTTCACCCATTTTTTTTCAGTTAACTCCTCCTCCACTTTACTCTGCATGGTACCCTGGAAATCCAACTTGAGTTTACGGTGTCAGTGGACACAAATGCTCTTTGGGTCGTTCTCCTTGAAGTCACTTCTCCAAATATGCCTTTCAGGCATGAGAGACCTCTTGGAGACCATGTGTTAATCCTCTTTTCTAGCACTAACAGCAATGGCTTCAGCATCCGAGTCATCTGTTGATACACTTTGGCTTCATCCTGCTCAGCAATTGTCTGCCCATTCGCTCTGTGATTCAGTTTTGCATGCAGGTAATTCAGTGCTACTTCTCTATACAGTTCTTGTTTTTTCTGTGTAAAACATGGTCCAAATCCAGCTCTCCCACTTCTGGAGGACTTCTCTTTCTTTAAATACCTCATGAAACCTAGCTATTCCTCCTTAAGGTTGGCCCTCTGGCTTTCCTGATGGGACGGTTTTCACCTAAACTACTTCAGCAGCTAAAAGTGCAAACTCCTTCCCTGCATCCCCAAGTGTATCTGCGCCCAGTTCTTTATAGGGACTACCAAAAGTACAGATTTCATAGCTGTAACACAGCCGGGGCCCCCGATTTCCAGGGGGGGCGGGTGTCACGGCCAGGGCTGCTATATTGAAGGTGGAGCACAGTGAGCCCCCTACACTTCTGATTGGTTGAGGGGTGCTGCGAGTCCCACCCCTTGCCAGGTATTGATTGAAAGCCCTAGCTGGAGCTGCCTGGCTCATTAACTCAGTAATTATCACCCTCTTCCAGTGCGGAGGGTGATCATTTATTAAAGAGGAAAACCGACACTATAACCACCCCAGTGATACGCACTTTATTAAATCAGCACTTCAATTAAACTATGCACAGAAAGACCTTAGGAAAATAAACCTCTCATCCGCCCCCAACCCTGCCTAAGGGAGAAATCCATGAAACTGTATTTGGTAGGTCCCTAACTGCACTATGACTGTTGGCTGAGTCTGCTGCAATAGAAGAGCCTTGTCTGCCTGCAACAGCTGAGGGATTCAAGGGGAAGCTAACGTCAGGTCTCCCCCTGTTCTCTCTGTTAAATCTTTCAGAGTAGCGTAGCCCAAAGCGCTCATGCAGGATGCCGTTTCGGACCACGGGGCTCTCACGAGACGTGACACTGTCACTGTGGTTTTCTCTCTGTTTCCAGTCACTGGTGTATTGGTTTTGAATGCAGGACCTGCCAACCTGTGCACTCATCTCTGCCCTGGGATCATCCTCCCATTGGATGGGTTGCTTTAGTTGCAACTACAGTTATTATAAAACCATCCTTTCATCTCCTCTGGTGATGAGGAATTATCCTCTCTCCTAGCAAAAGGTTTATTGTCAGCCATCTGCCACGGATCCCTTCCGCTGCTGTGAGTCCATGCTTTAAACCTTCTGAGAAGAAAATCATTTCCACGCCTTTGCCTCGAATTACACGGATGAGACGCACATTATCCATCCTTAGATGTGTCCAACGTCTCCTAATTTAGGTACCTTGAAAATAATAAAAGCTTTATTGTTCTGCTTTGTAGTTCATCACAGATCAATGCATCTCCATCCCGTCCCTGGAGACTCTTAGTTTTATATATATGACACCTCAGAGTGGTTGGTGCTTTGTTTCCTATGGCTGTATGTCCACTACCTGCCTGGATGACTGAGAGCTTCTCCCTGCTTGTCCTTCTCTTTCATCCTAAATCCCCACCCTCCCTTGGCCATCAAGCCCCTAGTAAAATCCTTCAGTTCAGTGGATCCATTCCCCAAATCCCAGTTGGTTTTTCTGCATCCAGCAACCAGTCACAAGCACTCTTATCCACTGCCCAAACAGGATATCGAGGTCCCACACCTGACTTGATCTGCCGCATCCAGCGAGGACAGGTGGAGCTCTGGGTCAGTGATGATGAGGACCGTGGGGAAATGCGGAAGTCAGAGGACATGCTGCCAGGTGAGTTGTGGCTGTCCCCTCCACCCGACTCCCCTCTCACAAATGCTCCATGCCCAGGGTGAAAGGTGTCGCGAATCAGAGCAGCCACCTGACTCACACCGGAGTGTTTAGATTTAGAGCTCGGCAGGCGGGTAGTGATGGATGGAGTGGAATTAACCAGGCACAGACGCGTGTAGGTTACAGGAGTTTGTTTACTTATGTCGCCTAGATAGTGATGGACGACGCAGGCGAGCCTTTGTTCCGTTACAG